AACACTCCCTCCTCCTATCCCCTCTCCCCCGGACAGAGTCGTCGAGCATGGTGGCAGGATACGCCGTGCTGGGCATCGTGGCTGTCGCTGTCCTCGTCCTCGTCGTCCTCGTCCTGGCCAAGTCCTCTCCTGGCACCATCTTCTCCAGGGCGAGTCTCCTAGCAGCTGGGGGGTAAGGGGGGGTGAGTCTCCTAGCAGCTGGGGGGTCAGAGGGGCGAGTCTCCTAGCACCTAGGAGGTCAGGGGGGTCAGTCTCCTAGCAGCTGGGGGGTCAGGGGCGAGTCTCCTAGCATCTAGGAAGTCAGGGGGCGAGTCTCCTAGCAGCTGGGAGGTCAGGGGCGAGTCTCCTAGCAGCTGGGGGGGTCAAGGGGCGAGTCTCCTAGCATCTAGGAGGTCAGGGAGCGAGTCTCCTAGCAGCTGGGAGGTCAGGGCCGAGTCTCCTAGCAACTAGGAGCCGCTAAACCAACTAGGATACGCACTTGCCTCCTAGCTGCGTTTCCTTGCCCGTGTCTCTTTGAAAAGTTGGGAAGATGCTGGGCTCAGCATTCTCCACCTTGTGTTCCCTGGGAGCTGGGACGGTCCTAGCGGCGATCACCCAGGAGGTAAATGGTGTTATCCTAGCTCGCCTCCCAGCGTGTTCTTGGCGGACGTGTAACACGTAAGTGACTCTTTGTCGACACCAGAATTCAAGGGGCTGGCTGGTTTAAAGGCGCGGGCACGCACGCACGCACGCACGCACGCACACACACACACACACACACACACACACACACACACACACACACACACACACACACACACAGTTGATTGACAGTTGAGAGGCGGGACCAAAGAGCCAAAGCTCAACCCCCGCAAGCACAAATAGGTGAGTACAAATAGGTGAGTACACACACACACACACACACACACACACACACACACACACACACACACACACACACACACACACACACACACACACACACACACACATACACACACACACACACAGTAACGAGTGGAGTACCTCAAGGATCGGTGCTGGGACCAATTCTATTTCTAGTATATGTTAACGACATGTTTACAGGAGTAGAATCCTACATGTCGATGTTCGCGGATGACGCAAAGTTGATGAGAAGAGTTGTGACAGATGAGGATTGTAGGATCCTCCAATAGGACGTGAACAGATTGCAGAGATGGTCAGAGAAATGGCTACTGGAGTTCATCACGAGTAAATGTAAAGTTATGGAAATGGGATCAGGTGATAGGAGACCAAAGGGACAGTACACAATGAAGGGGAACCGCCTACCTGTGACGACGCGTGAAAGAGACCTGGGAGTGGATGTAACACCTAATCTAACTCCTGAAGCACATATAAATAGGATAACGACAGCAGCGTACTCTACACTGGCAAAAGTTAGAACATCATTCAGAAACCTAAGTAAGGAGGCATTTAGGGCGCTTTACACTGCCTACGTGAGGCCAGTCTTAAAGTATGCCGCCCCGGTCGGCCGAGCGGACAGCACGCTGGACTTGTGATCCTGGGTTCGATCCCAGGCGCCGGCGAGAAACAATGGGCAGAGTTTCTTTCACCCTATGCCCCTGTTACCTAGCAGTAAAATAGGTACCTGGGTGTTAGTCAGCTGTCACGGGCTGCTTCCTGGGGGTGGAGGCCTGGTCGAGGACCGGGCCGCGGGGACACTAAAGCCCCGAAATCATCTCAAGATAACCTCAAGAACCCCACCATGGCGTCCCCACCTAAAGAAACATATAAGGAAACTGGAAAAGGTGCAAGAAGTTTGCAAGGGGGGAGGGGGTTAGGTCCCCTACTCAGCCACGAGGGATCATGCGGTCGGCGTTCAATCCCCGACCGTCCACAAAGTGGTTAGACACCATCCCATCCTCCCCTCCCGTCCCATCCCACATCCTTAGCCTGACCCCTTCCCAGTGCCATATAGTGGTAATGGCTTGGCGCTTGCCGCTGATAATTCCCTCCCTCCAGGAGCGCCTGAGAGGTCAGTACCGTTGTCAAGAGTGAGGAAGGTAACGGAGTGGACGCCCTGGGTCCTCCGGTCCTCTCTTGGTGACGTCTTCCTCCTGTTTATCCCCAGCCTCACCCCACTACGTCTCCCCCGTCACCACACACCACACACCACTGTAGGAGACACGAGCCTCGTTATCTGTTTATGTGTCTCCTGGGAGGGAGACAGGCAGGGTGTCTGAGAGAGACGGAGGCAGGAAGCCAGGGAGACAGCGAGGGAGACAGGCAGGGTGTCAGAGAGAGAGGGAGGCAGGGAGGGTGTAAGAGAGAGATGGAGGCAGGGAGGGAGGCAGGAAGACAAGGAGACAGGCAGGGTGTCTGAGAGAGAGGGAGACAGGGAGGGAGGCCGGGAGACAGTCAGGGAGGCAGGGAAGGAGACAGGTAGACAGGGAGACAGTCAGGGAGGCAGGGAAGGAGACAGGTAGACAGGGAGCCAGGGAGACAGTCAGGGAGACAGGGAGGGAGGCTGGTAGGAGACCACCAATCTTGACAGACGGCACAAAGCTGATGAGGAAAAGTAAGAACCGAAGAACACTGCAGAACGTCACAGGACGTCCTTGACCAAGTCAGGAATGGTCAAACAAATACTTACTGGAATTAAGTTGTAACAGGAGTAAGGTAAAGAAGCTGGGAAGGGTAGGAAGGAGAGCAAGAGGTATCTACACCACGAGGGGAAGACAGCTACAGGAATTGGCGAGAGAAGAAGGTTAAGGAGTGGATATAATTCCAATACTAACACCAGAGGCACACATAAACAGGGTAACATCAGCAGCATATGAGCCGCTGGCAAGCATTAGCACTATCATATCACCTTGTCAAGCATGAAATCAAAATTTAAAAGGTACAAAGGCTTCCAACAAGATTAGTGACAGAGCAAGGAGGATTAAGCGTTGAGTATAGCTTAGGAGAACTAGATTACCTGGTTGATACCTGGTTGATGGGGTTCTGGGAGTTCTTCTACTCCCCAAGCCCGGCCTGAGGCCAGATTAGACCACCCTAGAGAACAGAAGAAAGAGGAGATATGATCACATCATACGAGATACTGAGAGGAACAGACGATATGTACAAGGACAACCTCTTTAAATCCAGAGAAAGTAGGACGAGAGGACATAATTGGAAGCTGGAGACATAAACGAGTCAAAGAAATGTTAGGAAATACTCGAGCATTATATGAGTGCAATATACTGAAAGAAGCAGCTATAGAAGCCACCTCCAGCCACAACTCTAAGACCAAATCTGACCAAAAATTCAAACGTCACATTAGTTCAATTATAACGTAAGAGGTACCAAGAGAGAGAAATAACGTAAGAGGCACCAAGAGAGAGAAATAACGTAAGAGGTACCAAGAGAGAGAAATAACGTAAGAGGTACCAAGAGAGAGAAATAACGTAAGAGGCACCAAGAGAGAGAGAAATAAGAGAGAATGAGAATGAATGCAGGGGAAAGTGCCAAGTCATTACGACTATATAGCACTGGGAAGGGGTCAGGATAAGGATTTGGGATGGGACGGCCCTATCAGCCCTATCTTACCAGCCCTATCAAACCCCCCATACATTACGTCCTCCTATGATGGAGTGATAGACGGCCGCAGGCCTTAATAACAACATATACTATGCAGAAGGGGGGGATAAAGATCAATACCTCGTAGTGAGTGATAGGTAAGTGATAGGTATTGGTTGACCCAGCATCTACTACAGGTACTGTGCGCCTGGCCAGAACCCGACGTGTCATCCCTCTCCCTCCTCCTGCAGGGTATCGACGCCCCGGCTGGATAATTAAGGAGACCATGTTCTTCCTGGTGCCTGGGGCCAGAGATTAATAGAGGGCGGCCGAGGCCTGCGCTTCATCACCTTGAAATATCCAATAATTATTGACAACATTTTCCCCACAGATGAGCTTAGCGGAACGGCCGCCAGCACCAGCCGCGGCGCTCGTGTCTCAGAGGTCATTATTGACAACGGTAATCCTATTGTCTCTCTGAAGGCTGTCATAATAACCATGTGCCACTCACGGGGTAAACTAGTGATGATGATCTTGGTAACATGTGTATCACCGCCCGCTGGGGACGTAAATAATCAACACTTACTTCCTGCAATTTGTAGCTGGTATCATCTTGTCTAGCTTCTGTTATCTTATAAATAAATAAATGTTTATTTAGGTAAGGTACATACATACAAGAAATTTTTACAAAGATTGGTTGACTTATAGGTAGAGCTAGTACATACAATGCCTAAAGCCACTATTACGCAAAGCGTTTCGGGCATCTTCGTGTTTCTTTATCAGTAAATGACGGGGAGTGGCAGGGGTGTGTGTGTGTGTGTGTGTGTGTAGGGTCATGTGTGTGGTGCACATCTTCTCACTTGTGCTACACATGGATAACGTGTAGCGCATCTTCACGACGATAGTGACCTTTACGTCCTCACTCTCACACTGAAGATAACACCTTCTCTCCCAGTACTGACCTCTGACCGGTCCTCAGTACTGACCTCTGACCGGTCCTCAGTACTGACCTTTGACCTGTAACAAACTGTATGGTGAGCCGTTACTGAGGAGTGTGTAACCTTGTATGTTTCAGGACATCGAGTCAGGTCTGGTGTCTTGGGGTCGGAGCAAAGGTCTCCAAGGTCAGGCCGCGGTCATGATCTCCACCTCCCTGCCTGACCTCTCAAGGTCGGTCTCACAGGAGCAACTTCTTCCACAGGACTCCAAGAAGGTCAGTTTAAGATGACTCCAAGAAGGTCATCTATGTATGTGATATAGTAAATTTGTTCTCGTATAGCTGTGTTGGTGAATGTCTTGGTGACCTCGGCTTGACCTCTTGGTGTTGATAGGTGCCGCGTCAGACGACCCTGCCTACGGTGCCTCAGCGCCACGCCTCCTTCAGGAGACAGCTGTCCCAGCGCCTCGACGTGGACAGCATCCAGTTCGCGGTGCTCAACTTGGAGAAGAAGGATGACCTCGGGCTCCTTAAGGTCGGTGCTTTGGTCCGCTACTGTCTTGATGTGGGGCTGTGTTGTGTATCTCTCTCTCTCTCACCCTTCCTCTCCACCACAGCTTGTTACCCCTACCACACCTGACTACACATGGCGACCCCACCACACACCTGCTACCCCAACACACCACACACCTGCTACCCCAACACACCACACACCTGCTACCCCAACACACCACACACCTGCTACCCCAACACACCACACACCTGCTACCCCAACACACCACACACCTGCTACCCCAACACACCACACACCTGCTACCCGAACACACCACACACCTGCTACCCCAACACACCACACACCTGCTACCCCAACACACCTGGCTGGTATTCCCGTTGCCCACACCGTGGCAAACCTGAAAATCAACTCACATCTTACGAACCTCATGTTACTCTTCTAAAACGTTCTTCCCTCACCTGAAAACCAGTTGTACCTCACCTCACACCACCTACAGAGGAGCCTCACAAGCCCCTCCCCCCCCCCCTCTTCCATATCTGTCTCTCATTCTCCCCGTCACTTCCGTCTACCACCACCACCTTACCGTCCCGCTTCTCTGTCTCTCCCCCAGCCGGAGTTGTACCGGAATGAGCTGGTGCGTCAGTCGTCAGTTGAGAGCAGCGGGGCCGGGTCTGACACGGAGGCTGTGGGGCGTCTCTCCTTCAGCCTCAAGTACGACTCCTCCATCGAGGGCCTCCTGGTGAAGGTGGGTGACACGACTCTACTCTCCCACCTATCTTAGAGGTAGAAATTGCACTTACGTCCGTAGGTGCTTGCGTAACTGCTTCGTGAATCTGGCCACACTGGATAACAGAGTGCACTGATAGTGACCACATCACAGGATAACAGAATACACTGGTAGTGACCACATCACAGGATAACAGAATACACTGGTAGTGACCACATCACAGGATAACAGAGGGCACTGATAGTGACCACATCACAGGATAACAGAGTGCACTGGTAGTGACCACATCACAGGATAACAGAGGGCACTGGTAGTGACCACATCACAGGATAACAGAATACACTGGTAGTGACCACATCACAGGATAACAGAGGGCACTGATAGTGACCACATCACAGGATAACAGAGGGCACTGATAGTGACCACATCACAGGATAACAGAATACACTGATAGTGACCACATCACAGGATAACAGAGTACACTGGTAGTGACCACATCACAGGATAACAGAATACACTGATAGTGACCACATCACAGGATAACAGAATACACTGGTAGTGACCACATCACAGGATAACAGAATACACTGATAGTGACCACATCACAGGATAACAGAATACACTGATAGTGACCACATCACAGGATAACAGAGTACACTGATAGTGACCACATCACAGGATAACAGAATACACTGATAGTGACCACATCACAGGATAACAGAGTACACTGATAGTGACCACATCACAGGATAACAGAATACACTGGTAGTGACCACATCACAGGATAACAGAGGGCACTGATAGTGACCACATCACAGGATAACAGAATACACTGATATATAGTGACCACATCACAGGATAACAGAATACACTGATAGTGACCACATCACAGGATAACAGAGTACACTGGTAGTGACCACATCACAGGATAACAGAGTACACTGGTAGTGACCACATCACCATCAATCACTGTGTCACACGCACTCAATATATTGACTAACCGACACACTTCCCAAGTACCAACAAACACTGATTGCTTTACCTTCAAATATGAGAATGTTTCCATATGAAATTTGTAGTCGATATAAACAAGCACAAAAATGCCTAACTAGAGGTCAATTATTTGGACCAATGCGCTTGGTGAAAGTAGTTTAAAAACAACCATTTGGTACCGGCAATTGGTTGTATGTAAGAGGTGTGTGTGTGTGTGTGTGTGTGTGTGTGTGTGTGTGTGTGTGTGTGTGTGTGTGTGTGTGTGTGTGTGTGTGTGTGTGTGTGTGTGTGCGTGCGTGCGTGCGTGCGTGCGTAAAATATGGTTTCCTACTGCCAACTACTGATCTTCCCAAAGATACAAAACAAAGAATATCCACAATAAGTCCGGAATACCTATTTACTGCTAGGTGAACAGAGACTTCAGGCACAAGGAAATGTTGCCCAAACGCTTCTGTCCTGCTAATGGACTTGCCAGCTGTGATCTGACTGCGCTGATTATTGTGCATGTTGTTGTTGTTATAGATTCAGCTACTGGGAACAAAAAAGTTCCAAGTAGCACGGGCTATGGTGAGCCCGTAACTTACCTGGCACAGGAACGGGGCAAGTAGCACGGACTATGGCGAGCCCGGAGTGGACTTACCTGGCACAGGAGCGGTGCTATAACTGGTTATTGTGCAACATGAATTAATTAATTAACAACAGAGTATTCCCCTGACCAACCACCTACCAACCAATGAGGTAGATGTGTCAAACCACTTAAGCAAATTTGTACCACCAATTCTATCCTAACCTATCGTACTCTATCGTATCCTATCCGATACGATTATACGATACCTATCCACGAAAACTAACCTAGCCACGGTGCTGACATATAACTAATAAACTATGTTAGTTCCTGAAGCTGCTGGTAGGTTAGGGGGGGGGGGTGTTATATATGACTATACTTGTAAATATACTTATAATTTGGGTATGACTGTGGAGAGTGGGTGGACGAACAGTCCTCTACCCACAATGCCCCAAGGGGGCACCAGCGCGCCAATTCACTCCCGCCAATATTCCCAAACGCCCTCAGGAATATTGGCGGGAATGTTCTCATGTGCGCCCACCGGGTAGGCTGGGTGACGGGTGACCTGATGGATCACCCACTCACCCATGGCCTTCCATGAGAGCTCTTAAACAAATAAACAAATTATTCATTGGTGGAAGACGACCTGTATTACTCATTTGGCCGAGTGACTTGTCCCTCCCTGGCCGCTCACCCTGGTCGTCCCGCTGGCCAAGGTGAGCCTCACCACTCCACTTAATGACCCCGCCAACCTTGACCATTTGGGCGAGAGGTCGGTGTAGGTCCCCTGCCCCCAGGTGGCCGGTCTAGCCAGCCTCGGTGTCCCATCTGAGGTGTCCAGTGCCTAACGTGTGTGTGTCCACCAGGTGGTGCAGGCCCACGATCTCCCAGTTAAGGACGTGAGCGGCTCCTCTGACCCTTACGTCAAGGTGTACCTCCTGCCCGACCGCAAGAAGAAGTTCTGCACTAAGGTCCACCGTCGCAACCTCAACCCAGAGTTCAACGAGACCTTTGTCTTCAGGTAGGAGGCGCAGGGAGAGAGAGAGGGAGGATGAACGTCTTGCAACCCGTTCTCGCACTTTCTTTAAGTCAATATTGACTTATAAAATAAGTGCATATGTGACATACTAATTTATTGTGAATATTTTAGTTTACCTTGAAAAGCTTCATAGAAAACACTGACCTTACCTAACCTTCTTAGTATGTTAAGATAAGCATCTTATTGCTTCGTAATTTCAATTATTACTTAACCTATATCTATAACAGGTTAAGTAATAATTGTAATTACGAAGCAATAAGATGCTTATCTTAACATACTAAGAAGGTTAGGTAAGGTCGGTGTTTTCTATGAAGCTTTTCAAGGTAAACTAAAATATTCACAATAAATTAGTATGTCACATATGCACTTATTTAATAAGTCGATATTGACATAAAGAAAGTGCGAGAACGGGTTGACGTCTTCACGGCTTAACACACGACACTCAAACCTCTTGGCCTATAAGCGTCTTTTATTAAGTAATGCATAGGCATGTGTCGTTGTATATAATTCTTATATATGCTGTAGTATGGCATAGGAAATACCGAGAGCTTTTCACCGTTAATGTTCTTAGTCAACATATTTTTTTCTGAGTTGTTTGAATAAGTTAAACTCTCGCTTCTTATTTGTATCTTCTATTTAGTGTGTCGACACTTCTGTTTGGGGTGTTGGGCATATCTCCTATATTAACTCATAAGTAATCACAGCAACATTTGTTGTGGCCCAAAACGTTTCCTTTCCCTGTCTAGCCCAACTTCTTGGGGTGGACGGTAGAGCGACGGTCTCGCTTCATGCAGGTCGGGGTTCAATTCCCGACCGTCCAAGTGGTTGGGCACCATTCCTCTCCTCCCCCGTCCAGTCCCAAATCCTTATCCTGACCCCTTCCAAGTGCTATATAGTCGTAATGGCTGGGCGCTTTCCCCTGATATTTCTATTCCACTCTGACACAGAGCCCCGCACATGACCTGGTGTAAACCTATGTTGTGCCTGTACCCCGCAGCGCTCAGATGGCAGAGCTCCGGGAGAGGACACTGCAGTTCAGTGTGTACGACTTCGACCGCTTCTCTCGTAACGACCTGATCGGCCAGGTTGTTGTGCGGGGCGTGGCCGACCACTGCCAGCTGGACGAGGAGGTCCACTACCTCATGGATATCCTCAACACCAAACACGTGAGTACTTCCCCTCTATACCTGATCAACCAGGCTGTGACTCATACGTCAGGCTGCGAGCAGCCGCGTCTAACAGCCTGGTTAATCAGTCCAGCAACCAGGAGGCCTGGTCGACGACCGGGCCGCGGGGACGCTAAGCCCCGGAAGCACCTCAAGGTAACCTCAAGGTATACTCGTGTCCGTCCGTCACCAGCCTAGCACGTGACAAGTCCGTCCGTCACCAGCCTAGCACGTGACAAGTCCGTCCGTCACCAGCCTAGCACGTGACAAGTCCGTCCGTCACCAGCCTAGCACGTGACAAGCGCCCGTCCATCACCAGCCTAGCACGTGACAAGCGCCCCCATCACCAGCCTAGCACGTGACAAGCGCCCCCATCACCAGCCTAGCACGTGACAAGCGCCCCCCATCACCAGCCTAGCACGTGACAAGCGCCCCCATCACCAGCCTAGCACGTGACAAGCGCCCCCCATCACCAGCCTAGCACGTGACAAGCGCGCCCCATCACCAGCCTAGCACGTGACAAGCGCGCCCATCACCAGCCTAGCACGTGACAAGCGCGCCCGTCACCAGCCTAGCACGTGACAAGCGCGCCCCATCACCAGCCTAGCACGTGACAAGCGCCCCCCATCACCAGCCTAGCACGTGACAAGCGCCCCCATCACCAGCCTAGCACGTGACAAGCGCCCCCATCACCAGCCTAGCACGTGACAAGCGCCCGTCCATCACCAGCCTAGCACGTGACAAGCGCCCCCATCACTAGCCTAGCACGTGACAAGCGCCCCCATCACCAGCCTAGCACGTGACAAGCGCGCCCATCACCAGCCTAGCACGTGACAAGCGCCCGTCCATCACCAGCCTAGCACGTGACAAGCGCGCCCCATCACCAGCCTAGCACGTGACAAGCGCGCCCGTCACCAGCCTAGCACGTGACAAGCGCGCCCCATCACCAGCCTAGCACGTGACAAGCGCCCCCCATCACCAGCCTAGCACGTGACAAGCGCCCCCATCACCAGCCTAGCACGTGACAAGCGCCCCCATCACCAGCCTAGCACGTGACAAGCGCCCCCCATCACCAGCCTAGCACGTGACAAGCGCGCCCATCACCAGCCTAGCACGTGACAAGCGCGCCCGTCACCAGCCTAGCACGTGACAAGCGCGCCCATCACCAGCCTAGCACGTGACAAGCGCCCCCGTCACCAGCCTAGCACGTGACAAGCGCCCCCGTCACCAGCCTAGCACGTGACAAGCGCCCCCGTCACCAGCCTAGCACGTGACAAGCGCCCCCGTCACCAGCCTAGCACGTGACAAGCGCCCCCGTCACCAGCCTAGCACGTGACAAGCGCCCCCATCACCAGCCTAGCACGTGACAAGCGCGCCCATCACCAGCCTAGCACGTGACAAGCGCGCCCGTCACCAGCCTAGCACGTGACAAGCGCCCCCATCACCAGCCTAGCACGTGACAAGCGCGCCCCATCACCAGCCTAGCACGTGACAAGCGCCCCCCATCACCAGCCTAGCACGTGACAAGCGCCCCCGTCACCAGCCTAGCACGTGACAAGCGCCCCCGTCACCAGCCTAGCACGTGACAAGCGCCCCCGTCACCAGCCTAGCACGTGACAAGCGCCCCCATCACCAGCCTAGCACGTGACAAGCGCGCCCGTCACCAGCCTAGCACGTGACAAGCGCGCCCATCACCAGCCTAGCACGTGACAAACGCCCCCGTCACCAGCCTAGCACGTGACAAACGCCCCCCCCCCCCCATCACAAACCTGTTATTTCCGTTACTCCCTTTAGTGTACAAAACCTGGATTTCGCCTTGTAACAAGAGAACCGTAGACATTACAACAGTATAACAGTGTCTGGTGGCGGCGTGAACTACTCTACCAGTTAGTTGACAGTGAGAACTCACACCTCCTGCAGTGGCTGTTGTTGTTGTTGTTAAAGATTTAGCTACTCAGGACGAAGTGTCCATGTAGCACGGACTATGGCGAGCCCGTAAAATACTCTACAGTAGCTACAAGTACTATCCTGCCGGGACGATGGGTTGATTTTCCTCACCTGGTGAAGGAGCTACTAGATGTGCAGCCTATCCCTGGTGCCAGGGCAGGGGGCACTCGACCCACGCCAGGGGCACTCAACCCCACGCCAGGGGCACTCAACCCCACGCCAGGGGCACTCAACCCCACGCCAGGGGCACTCAACCCCACGCCAGGGGCACTCAACCCCACGCCAGGGGCACTCGACCTCTCCTGACTGGCATATAGCTTACTGCACCTTCATCTACAGATGACGGTGAAGACAATATAAGACTACCCATTGGCTGGGGATGACGTGTCTGACGGAGAGCGGGAGGGGCCGCCCCTAGGGGCCAGGCCCTGGGAGAGGAGTGTCCATCATGTAGTATTGAGGGCCCTCTAGCCTGCCCTTCACCCCCCCCCCCTCCATGGCTGGCCTGAAGCCGCTCCTCAACCCTCGACTACTGTGTAGCCAATCCGTCCTCCCAATCATCTTATTTTATACGCTATAGTCCCCCAACGTACTATAACAAGTAGCGGCTCACCAATATCCACGTTTTCTATACATCGGTTGGTTAGGTTAGGGGGGTGGCTTGGGTGCGTGTGTCTCTGGGTAGGTTAGCACGTCGTGTTTTGTACGTTGTGGCGCGTCAGGCTAAACGGGCTTATGGCCAGACAGCCTCGGGAGCCTGGTAATGGTGGTTAGTCTGTCGCGGTCAGGAAGCCTGTTAGGCTTATTGGGGAGGAGGGGGAGGGGAGGGGGAGGGGGAGGGGGAGGGGGGGAAGGCCCCCTTATACAGTGACTTCCCGACTACGAAATATTTCAAGGTCTCCTTCAAACAAACAACACATTGGTAGTCCCTGCCAAAGATTATACTGCCGGCGTGGTCACCAAACCATTCACTGGGGAGACCCAACGGTATTTAACCAAGTGACCAGCGCGTTACCGGCTGTGTCACTTCGTGACACAGCCGGTAACGCCACCTGTGTACTGTGTATGGCACTAGAGCCACCACCTGTGTACTGGGCTGCCAAGCCCTGCTCACTATATTTATACATATTTTTACACACTGCTAGGCGAACAGACGCATCAGGTGAAAGGAAACAGTTACACAAACGTCTCTGCCTTGCCCAGGAATTGAACCCGGGTCCCCCTCGGTTGTGAGCCGAGGACGTAGACCAATGTGCTAGAGGTTTGAAGGCTGTGGCAAGCCAAGTATAAGTTTCATGTCAATGTTTACATGGCGCGACCTAACCTGACCTTCAGGTGACTGATGGCCACACTCTCTCTCTATCCCAACAGCGAGACCCCCGACGCGCGGGATTACGCCGCTTATACCACTAAATTAATGACTTTATTGTGCTTATATTGTATATATATTTGTGCACATTTGATTAATATAGAGGTAGGGATCCGTTAATAATTTAATGATAATCCGTTTTAGATTTAGCTACTCAGAAGGAAATATCCATGTAGCACGGGCTATGGTGAGCCCGTAAGAGGTGGATCCGTCAAGATAGATGATTCTTATAGTGTATAGTGATCTGTTCCCCTAGTATGACTTAGTTTGCTGGTCTTCCCACCTCATCCCCATCACCCCAACCCCCCTCCCAATCACCCCAACCCCCTCCCCATCACCCCAACCCCCCTCCCAATCACCCCAACCCCCTCCCCATCACCCCCCTCTCCTGTTTTGATACCTAGTCCACTACACGTTGGTGGAATAAGAGTCCCCACACTACTATCTATGCAGACTGGAATTCAATTCATCAAATATGTTAGATGACTGACATTACTGAAGTTTGCTGCCAGTTAGTGGATGGCGTTGGTGCTCTGGGGTGGTAATAACACACACACACACACACACACACACACACACACACACACACACACACACACACACACACACACACACACACACACACACACACACACACACACACACACACACACACACACACACACACACACACACACAAGTCAGGAGTCAGCAAATCTCTCATGTCCTCACCAACCCCGCCGGATGAGCAGACAGAGCCCATATAAACACTTAGTCCAATATGTGCAGATGTATATGGTGTTACGGTGACCGTGTTCGCTCTATCACCAGCCACACATCACAACAAGTCGTACAACTTATTCATGTGTGTGTCCTTGTTGAGTTGCCCTGAACATCTGCACATGGACGGTCTGCACCCTCACCCCAGCCCACAGCCTTCCCCACAGCCCACAGCCTTCCCCCCCAGCCCACAGCCTTCCCCACAGCCTCCTCCAGCCCAGAGCCTCCTCCCAAGCCCAAAGCCTTCCCCAGCCCACAGCTCCCATGCTCACTCAGGGACGCTGTTTTCAATGACAAAAACAATGAGAATCGAGTTACTGCTCCAGATGAAAGCACGGACAATAGAAGTAAACGATGAAACAATCGGTGCCTCAAAGTGGCAAGCACGCTGCAAGACCTTCCTTATCCGTCTATGTGGTCGAGAGGCGAGGCCAGAGAGCCGACGCTCAACCCCCCAGCAAGTACACCTAGGTGAGGACAAACACCAGCCGGTGAGAGTCAGGTCCTGACAACCCTCCCCCCCCCCCCTGGAGAGCACCTGTCACCAACTGCTGTAGAATACAAAATAACAGTGAACAGTTATAGAATACAAAACAGTAACCTTTACATACCGTGATGTACAGGAAGTTGGGGGTAGCATTCAGTGATGTGATATACAAGACGTGGGGAAGTAAATCATTTTGACGGTGGAAATTGCAGCAGTTATAAAAGCTTGGAAGATCATCTACGACGCCCATAATAATATTCTCACACAAACCCCAGGAGTGGTTCGACCCCCATTGCCTCCCAACACAACACTCTTCCATTCTCTGGCCACCGCTGGCCTCAGCTCTGAGGCCAGCGGATTCCTTGCTAGCTAGACCAGACTCAATTCTGAGGACAGTCCAAACATGGAAGTCCAACAAGCATTGTATAATATATTATT